TCACCCAGTCCTCTGGGTGCTGTTACTGATCTTGGCAAGAACATAAAATATGTTTGCCTCAATTTTTAGATCCCAAGGCTTAGTCCAGATCTGTGTCATTTGCTAGGCCTCTCTTAGTCTATAAACAAATACTAAAGTAATTAGGCTACACAAGCAATATCTGGATAAACAAATCTGAGTCAATGCAGACAGAGCATGTATCCCTTCTATGGATGCCCACAAGACTCACGATGGGGACGATAACACCAGGTCCGGTATTTGGCTTCACTGGTCAGAGCCAGAGACTGCCCAAATGTGCCTCTCGGCTGTACAACATGAATCTCCTTATAAGCTGAAAGTGTATGTTCAACCATTAGATTAAAATTCTAAAATGAAAATAATAATATGCATGTGTGTGTGTGTGTGTGTGTGTGTGTGTGTGTACAAGATATATATGGGAAAGGATCTCAATCTATAGCCCAGGCCAGCCTCAAACTCACTGCAGTTCTTCTGCCTCTTGGGTTCTGGGTTTACAGTCATGGACCATCATGTACAGCTGATTGATTAAAATAAATGTTGGGGCGGGGAGCCCTCAGTTGGTAAACTGACCTGAATTCTGTCTCTGGCACCTACATAAAAAGCAAGGTGTAACAACACCACACTAGCAATTCCAGCACTTGGAATGCAAAAGACAGGAGTGTCTTGAGGGATCACTGGCCAGTCAGTCTAAACCCAAAGGATGAATTCCAGGTCCAATAAGAAATACTGTCTCAAAAAGGGAGAGGGTAACAGGAGAAACCTGACATTCATCTCTGGCACACATGAGCACAGGCACAAACATAGAAATAATAAGCAATCAAAAATATGTAAATGTCTCAGAGACTTCCACTAGGGGCTCAGGAGATGGTCAGTGAGTAAAGAGAGCATGCCACACAAGCCTGAGAACCTACTAATCCCCAGCACCATAAAAAACCCAACAATGTCCACTCCTCCACCTCTAACTCCAGCCTGGGTGAGATGGGCAAGAAGGGAATCACTGATTCCCTTCCTGATTGCCAGGGTAGATGTGTCTCAGGGATGCACAGAACAGAGTGGTGATAGAGCAGAGCACTCTCCTAGGCTCCCAGGTGTTAGACATACACTACACACACAAAAGAAAACAACACTCCCCATCTCTCATTTGTATTCTTTCTCCAACACCCTTATAAACTCAAAAAAAAAAAAAGACATAAATCCACACTTCATGCATGTAATGGCCAAACCCCACTATTTCTTCCTTTATCTACAGTACTTCCACCTCTTTCTCATCTCTGCCACCCGTGACCTTTCCTCCCTGTCTTAGCACATCTTACCAAGATCTGGAGACCACCTTCTAAGTCCTGCAAGGACTTCCTGAAACACATTCTAGGTATCCAGACTCCTCAGAAACTTCAATGTTTCCCTCCCCAAACCCAAAAAAGAAAGTTCAAGTCCCTCACAAGTTGTTCACGATTCCATCCATCCCCAGCCACACTCCCCCTCTCCTTCCTCAGCCACACTCCCCCTCTCCTTCCTCAGCCACACTCCCCCTCTCCTTCCTCAGCTTACCTTATGTAGCATTTGCTACGTCTCCTTAATGTTTGGGCCTTTTGATCCTGACTGTCCAAGAACATTTTGTTATTAACATTCTTTGCAGAGACACATCTACACTTTTTGACTCAATCTTTCTGCCTCAGCCTCCTCAAGTACCATAGCCATAGGTGTGTGCACCTATGACACTGATGATGAGTAAAATATAGTCAATAAGATTACATCTCAAAACAACATGTGGAAAGTATACTGCACATAACGTCAATGTAAGTAATAGATACTAACTAATTGTTATATTGTACCATACTTTAGGAGCAATCTTTCATATTGAACACAAGATGAAGAAATATGTCCTCTCACATGATTTTACCAAGACCTAAAATTACTAAAACCCAAGAATCCTTAACTGGGAAATGATGTCATCTTGAATTCAGTCTAAATCCACATCCAAGGCAAATTTCATTGGAAAATTACAATGTCAAGACTTAAAAACATGCTGATAACCATAGACTAGAACATCTCAGCTGGAGGAGATCTGGGCTATCAACGGGCATCAGCAATGTCCAGATATTTTGGATGAGGCAAACGGACAGTTATGATGGTAAGTACTGCTGACATCTAAGTAAGGATCACACAATACACAGAACAGCCCTTAAAACAGTTGTGACTGAAAGTGGCAATCATGCTAGGGCTGAGATATCCTATGTGAGAGGTTTCTCTAGTACTAGGCCAAAATATGAAGACCAACAAGCACCTCTCTTTCTGCCTTTAACCTCTTCTAGCTGCCTACCTTGTCTAAATGGATCCCCTGTTCTCTTTTCCTCCCCTCTCTGAACTCTCAGATCTCAGAGTCCACGCTGCACAAGGAGACAGGAAACACAACTGCTGAGTGAGAAAGCTAGGAAGTATAATCCCCTCCAGTGCAGAAGGGCTTCTATTCCAACTTGATTCTACCAGCTACTACCATTCAGGCTCTGGTTAGGAAGCAACTCCCCACTACTCACTACCATCTTTAAAGGTATGCTTAGTAGTAACATGTAGTAGCACCATCTCCAAGATAAAGGCAATAAAGAGAAAGAGGTTGCCTTTAGATTTAAAACAAGAAAAAAGAAATATGCTTAAGTCTCAACATCTTTTATCATGAGTAATCGCTTAGGGGTTTTTATTTTAAAAAATTCATACAATATGCTTTTATCATATTCTTTCCCCTCCCCATCACCTAGATTTCTTTTTTTTGTTGTTGTTGTTTTGTTTGTTTGTTTGTTTTGTTTTTCGAGACAGGGTTTCTCTGTGTAGCCCTGGCTATCCTGGAACTCACTCTGTAGACCAGGCTGGCCTCAAACTCAGAAATCCTCCTGCCTCTGCCTCCCAAGTGCTGGGATTAAAGGCGTGCGCCACCACCGCCCGGCAACAGCAACCCATCACCTAGATTTCTAATGAATTTTCTGGGCTCCAAACTTTAAAATCGCTCTTCTATGCTTAACTTCACAATGATACTGTGAAGTGCAGAGAGCACGTATCCAGACTATGGACCCCCCAGCCCAAAAAAAAAAAAAAAATGTTTGGTGGTGAATAAAAAGCACCCCGGAACAAATTATATAAAAAAAAAAAAAGGAAAGGCCTCGTGGATTTTTAAAAAGAGAAAAATGCATTTACTTGCCTTGTGTTGCGCGCGTGCGCGCGCACACACGCGCGCACACACACACACACACAAACTGTAGCTCTCTCTAGATGCAATACAAAGTAGAGAGGAGGAAAGACCCTTCCCCTTTCAGCAGAGGGTGGCCGCTTCCTAGTGAGTCCTTCTGGTCCTTCCAGACTCAAGTACTAACAGCTGTGGGGAAAGGCTCTAGCTCTTCCTCGCTCGCTCGGCAGAGCAAACCAACTCCTGCAGTAGTTCTCGACAAAACTGAGTGCCACCAGCTGCTTTGTACCAACCATCTCGACCAGGGTGTAGGAATCTGCTTTTTGAAGTCATTATTACGTATCCAAAGTCTCTGGTCTCCTGTGCACCACTGGCCCCGATCTTAAACGTGGTTCTTTCGCGGTCCTTCGTAGGACCTGAGCCCCGGCCCTTCCCAGGCAGCAATAGCCCGAGTGGGGGCACTGTCACAAGCTCCAGGCCTCAGAAAGGGCAGTACAGCCAGTAAGAATCTCATGCTGATTCTAGATCTTCACCGAGCCACTGAAAGGCCACAAGGGGGATGTCGCCCCAGTTTCATACTCACAACCACCATCTGAGCACATACTGGATGGTGAAGCCGGGTGGCAGCACCAGGTCGGTGCCCAAGCCAGCACACAGAAGCCAGGCATCCCAGACTAAGGGTGGGCGGCGCAGGACTCAGCGCCATTGCCTGGGGCGAAGGCGGACTTCGCTGCAACCAGCCCGAAGCACGTGCCTGGGCTCGCCGGTGTCCCAAAGCCCGGGACAAAGTCTGCTCCTGCCCGTTCTGCAGCTCCAGCACCCGGCACCAGCGTCTGGTGCGGTCAGGACTTGAGCACTGCCTCAAGCCAACTCCAGACCCCACCCCGATGCAGGCTAGGCCGCCCACGACTCCTGCGTGCACTCACCATTGTGGTTGACCCAGGTTGGCTTCAAGAGCTTCATTGTTCGGCCGCTGCCGGGCTGAAGCCAGAGCCGTGTCCCTCAGCACGCCTGGGCCATGGGGCCGCCGCCGCTTCCTCCCGCGCCGCCCGCCCTCCGGCCGCCGCCCACCCTTGCCCTCAGCGCCGCCGTGCCATCGCCGGCCCGCGCCCCCAGCCACCGCCACAGCCGCCTCCTGCGCTCGGCCGCCGCCGCCGCCGCCACAGCAGCATCCCCTGCGCCGCTCCTCCTCCGGCGGCTCCGGGGCAACGCCGGAAGTCACGGCGCGCACCTGCCAAATCGCCCCGGCGGGAAACCGCTCCCTACGCGGACGGGGCCGCCTCGGTTCTTCGGTAGACAGTGGGGAGGGCGGGGATACTCCGCTGGCACGGACGGGGTCGCTGGTGTGGCTCGGGGTGAGCAGGCTGGCAAAGCCTTGAGATCCCGCCCGGCGATGCAGAGCCAGGGTGGTGTCCAGGTTTCTAGTTTTGACCTCCGCGGCTCCAGCCTAGTAACTAGCTTCCGCCATCCATCAATTCACGCTATTGGGCATCTCGCGAGCATGCAGCAAACAGCAGCGGCCCTGGGCTCTGATTGCATGAATAAAAGAGGTAGCCTGGTGGAGGATAGGGTGCCAGACGGGCGCGTTTATTAGAAGAGCGGGGCGTTTGCATAGACGTAAACACAGGCCAGGCGGAGCAGAGAGCAGCAACACTGGCACTTGGGCAAGGGCGGCAGGAAAGTAACACAGCACTCACAAGAAGCGGAACGCCGGCAAAAGGACGCTACGAAGCCAGCCGCGCTTGCCCGGGGCGGGGCTGCGTCGGGGGCGGGGCCATATGCGGGCCCGCCTCTCCGAATCTCAGACCGGCGTGTTCCGGGCAGAGGCCTGCGGGACCCCACCGGGTACCTCAGGTCGGACCGCCCAGAGGCGCGCTCCCGGAAGCTGCCCGCCTGCGGGTGGCGAGAAAAGCTATGGCTACCGCTGTGATGCTGTGTGCTGCGCGGGCTGTGCGGCCTCCGAGCTGGTGAGTGGAGCCGCGGGTGGCAGAGTACTCAGGGCGCGTGCGCGGGCTTTGCACCGTAGCTGCTCGTAGGCGCTCGCAGATTATTTTTGGGATGAGTTTACCTCATCTGTTGCGGATGAAAATCCGAACTGGGAATGTACTCACAGACAGACTACTTGCCTAACAAATGTGAAACCTCAGCCCTGCCTAAGTGCTGGCCTACTCCTGCAACCCCAGCACTATGGAGGTGGAGGCTAGGTCAGAAAGTCAAGGTCATCAACAGCTGCATACCACGTGTAAAACTCTGGCTATATTACACCCTATCTTAAAAAAGAAGAAAAAAAAATCCTGCCGGAGCAAGTAAAAACTGCCCCAGTGAGAAACGGAGTTTTGAAAAATCCTTACTTTGCCCTTCCTAGCCTAATACAAATAAATTTAGGCATGGTGGATTAGCTGAGGCAAGAGAATTGCCTCAAGTTCCAGGATAGCCTGAATTAGGGAGACTTTGTCTGAAAAATGCAAAATAAATACTTACAAACATCCTCTAGGTTTTGGGAAGCCCTATAGTTATGTGTATGTGCCTTCTCTTTCCCCAAACAGTTCTTTATACATACCCTTCTCTCCTTCAGGATCCCTGGTACCTGCCAGGCACAGGTCAGACACACCCACCAGAGAGCTTCCTTGCTGTCCTTCTGGGAACTCATCCCCATGAGGTAAAATTCAACATGACCCTTAGCTCTTGGGGTCTAGAAACACATGTTTGCATATGACCAAAACAAAGCAAGACTGCCCAACCTTTGGTTAGCAAATTTCAGTCTATCGAACTAATAGTTAAATTTAAGTGAATGCCTCTGTTCTTTCAACAAGCTCTGTGCTATGATATGTATTGCTACTTGAGTAGTGTAAATAAGTAGCAGCTAGATTTAAGGACTCTTGTGTGTTTCAAAGGGCATATCTTAACTTCTGTATTTCCATAGGCTTTGCTCTTCCCTGCTCATTCTGATTCACTGAGTGGGAGGAAGTTTCAAAGACTAATAATAGTTCCTCTAGGAACTTTGGATGCTTTCTTGGGACTTGATCTAGTTTATTTTAATGCTAAAAGATTTGTTTTAAGATTTTTTTTTAGATGTGTATGTGCCTGGCATATGTATACACTTGTGTTTCAGGTGCCCTCAAAGGCCAGTCAGGGGTTACAGATCTCCTAGAGTTATAAGCAGTTGTGAGCCCCTGATGTGGATTCTGGGAACCAAAGTCCAATCTTTAAGATCTGCAGGCACTCTTAAGTGCTCAGCCATCTCTCCAGCTTCATATTTGATTGTTCCTAATGCCACATATCTCCTGGGAGGTCTGTGCCCAAAAGTAAACCAGATAATTGCCAAAGCTTTAGGACATGACTAATTTTTTAATGTGTTATGTCTGCATGTATGAGTATGTATGCATGCCTGGTACCCACAAAGGCCAGAAGAAGATCCCAGATCCCTTAAAACTGGAATTAATGATGGTAGAAAGCTACCATGTGAGTGCTGGGAACAGAACCCAGGTCCTCTGCAAGAGCAACAAGTGTTCTTAACCACTGTGCCATCTCTCTTTTAGTCTTGAAGCATTTTGTAAATCACAGATTCATTTAAAATGTGAATGAGCTTTTAATCCATTAGTTCAGCAGGTTGACTTCTCAGGGCAGGTTGAAGATACGCCTGAATCACAGAAGGACACCTCCAAGCTCAGGATGTAGCTTGGTTTATTGCATCCATGTCCTAGCATGTACAAAGCCTTAAGTTTATCCCCAGCACCATGACACCAGGAGAGGTAGAAAATGACTACACTGGAAGTCTGGAGGTAAGAGACAGTAGGATCAGAGTTCAAGGACATCCTTGACTACATAGCCAGTTCAACACAAGCCATGACTATGTAAGACTCAAAAAATAAATTAAAAAAAGTTGGGCAGCGGTTGCACAGTCCTTTAATCTCAGCAATTGGGAGGCAGAGACAATTTGAGGCCAGCCTAGTCTACAGAGTCAGTTCAGGACAACCAGGGCTATAAAGAAAAACCCCGTCTCAGTACCTCCTGCCCCCAAAAAGAAAGAAACAACACTTTCTCTTAGTGAATACCTCTCCTTCTGTGATGCTTCCTGGAAAGTAAATAAAGGACCCATACAGTCCTCGTGAAGACAGTGGACAACTTTCTTGTAGCATATAGTACAAGTATGAGGCCCTTTATTTAGCATCATATCTGTCCTGAGATTAAATGTTTGTACCCACTAGAGCAGAACCTCTACGAAAGAAGAAGAAGGTAGACCCTAGAAAGGATCAAGCAGCAAAGGATCGCTTGAAAAAGAGGATCCGAAAACTGGAAAAAGCCACCCAAGAACTGATTCCTATTGAAGATTTTATTACCCCTGTGAGGTTCTTGGATAAATCAAGGTAAGGGTTCTCCTCTGGGAGACATCCTTAATGCAAAGGAATTCCCTCAAGTAGTTCTAATTGAAGTTCATGTCTGTGATGGGAACAGGTGAGTAGGTTTGACTTGGCCCTGGCCTGAATCCTTTTCACCTTGATTGTGCTTTTTGGGATTTGGAGGAAGATACTCAAGGGAGTTTAGATCAGCTTTGCTCCAAGGGTCACGTTGTTCATTTCCGTGAGTGTTGGCTGTGACCCATGACATCAACCCTAGCTCTGTAGCCCACATCCTACCACCACAGTAGAAAACTCTCAGCCTCTTGTACAAATGTTCAGTTAGTGTGTGTTGCAGTTGTATTGTGTGTAAGATTAGCTGCTCGTGCTTTCTTTAAAAAGTGCACAGTTTATAAAACCGTACAAGTTGGGAAGCACCAGTGCTTTTCTGGTGTTCCAGGACTAAACAAGCTCTTGTCTCTAATTGGTGTTTGTCTCATTTTTCTTCTGTACTCCAGCTCACCAAAAGGAGGACTTGTCTGGGGCAGAAACAGTATAGTTCTCTCCAAGCAGCTCCTGCCGGAGGAAAGCAACTGCTGCCATGTTCTATGCTGGGTTTTTTTAAATATGTAATTATGTGTGTTGGGAATATGTTCGTATGAATACAAGTATCCTTACAGGCAGCAGATGCTCTATGGCTTGACTTCTAAGCAGTCGTTAGCCACCTAATTCTGGTACTGAGAAAGAAATTATGGTCTCTAAGAACAGTAAATGCTCTTAACTTCTGAATCCTCTCTCCAGCCCTGACATTACATTCTTAATATATCCCTAATTTTACTATTTTCCTGAGCCCTGGTTACCTGATTATGCCTGGCAGTGCTGGTGGTAGGGCAGTGCTGGTGGTAGGGCAGTGCTGGTGGTAGGGCAGTGCTGGTGGTAGGGCACTTAGGTCGTCTGCAGTCACAAGGGTCTCTCTGCAACAGGGTCAGTACTCTTTGTCCTCACACGTTTGGACTATGTGTTCACAGACAGCGACCTCAGGAGGAGCATTCTTTTGAGGAAAGTGAGCGGAGAGCTCTTCTGCTGAAGAGGTGGGCACTGTATAAGCAGCAGGAGCATAAGATGGAGAGGGACACCATCAGAGCCATGCTGGAAGCCCAGCAGGAAGCCCTGGAAGAGCTGAAACTTGAGTCTACAGAGCTATATGCCGAGGCCATAAAGCGGGACACTAGCCTATTCCCCTTTGAGAAAGAAGGGCCACATTACACGCCACCTATCTCCAACTACCAGGCCCCTGAAGGCAGGTACAATGACATCACCAAGGTGTACACACAAGTAGAATTCAAAAAATAGAACTGAAAACTGCTATTCTCAAACCATGCTGGCCCTAGGAGTCTGGACTAGCAATATAAAGTTGACTTCCCACAGATAAGTCATCCCAGGAACAAATAAAGGGTAATTAAAAATGTCTCTGTCGTTTATTTTAATCAAAATGAATTCCGCCTAAGTTTGACTGGGGTTTTCAGATGCTGGTAAAACAATGACAGAAAGACAAGAACCTTCCTTTCCAGTGGGGATGTGGCTGGAAACTAAAGATTTCAGTTGTATTCTAAGCTGTTTGCAGAAAGCATGTAATAACTCAAAGGTGAAAAGCATGCTGGGTAAGTGTGACAGAGGAAGCTGGACCTTTGCTGGGGGGCAGCTGCAAAATTTCCCCTTGGTTTGCCAAGGTGAGGAAGGGCTTTCAAGATTAGAACAAGTCAGAAACACGTTAGTGAAATCTGTTCTGGCCTCCAGAAAAGGATGAGACAGGCCCGAGACTTGCATTTGCTACAATTAATCTGAAGCAAAAAGACTACCAGGAGTTTAAGGCTATCCCCTGAGATATAATTTGAGACCCTGTCTCTGAAACAAAACCAAGACTCTAAGCTAGTGAATATAGTATTCTGCTCCAGCTGCTGTAACAAAATGCTATAGTGTGGACATATTACACAACAGGTTTTCTACAACTCCCCAAGTTGAGGTCTTCGCATGCCTGAGAGGTTGGTATCAGTCTTTGTTTTCTCATCTGATGGCACAGTCATGTTAGTGTACAACAAACTTAATGGTCTCACTGTAGCTTAACTACCTCCTTAAACACCTGGCTTCCACACTCTGGGATGCTGGGGGTTAAGACATCAACATGTGAAGGAGGGTTTGGCCCAGTGGCAATGTGGTGCCATTTTTCCCAGTGACCTGAGGTGCAACTTCAGAAAGGCTTTGGCTTCTTAAGTTCTTTAATGCAAATAAACCAGGGGAAAATTTTGTCTCACTATGAACTTAGATTATTAAGGGCTGGTGATACAACTTCATGGGAGATGGTCTAGCATATTCAAGCGTCTGGCTTTGACTCCCAGCGTCACATACCAAAAAAGAAAGAAAAGGAAAAAAAAAATTTGTTTATTGTGATTAAAGACAAATTTACTCACTTGACCATTTCTAACTGAGTGAGTTGTATGTGTCTCATGCATATTGAGAGCATATTAAGACTATTGCTATCATCTGTGTATCTCTAGGACTTTCCATTATGAAACAGAAAACTACCTATTAAAGAACTTCTGCCAGCTATGGCATATGACTGTAGTTCGAGCTACTTGGGAGACTGAGGGCTAACCTGAGCTATATCATGAAACACTCATCTTCTCAGAAAAACCACTGCCACTCTCTTTTCTGTTGCATGAGTCTGACTTGTACCTCAGTAAGTGGAATCATTATTGATCTCTGCCTATCCTAATTTCTCCAAGCATATTGCCTCTATTTATATATTTAATTTTTTAGAACACTGCTCCCAACGTGGATTCAACTAATCTTCCTGCCTCAGCCTCCCAAGTAACTACCTACTGGTATGTGCCACCATGCACATATTGTTAGATTTTTTTTTTCCCCTTCTCTGGTATGGTGTGGGGTTAAAACAGGATCTCACTGTTGTAACCCAGGCTGGCCTTGATCTCTCTCTTGTTTTGTTTTTCTCTAGGATGAATTAGGCATATGAATAAACCATATTGCCGGTGGTGGTGGCGCACACCTTTAATCCCAGCACTTGGGAGGCAGAGGCAGGAGGATTTCTGAGTTCAAGGCCAGCCTGGTCTACAGAGTGAGTTCCAGGACAGCCAGTGCTACACAGAGAAACCCTGTCTCGAAAAACCAAAAAAAAAAAAAAAAAAAAGAATAGACCATATTTTATTTCTCCATTCATCTTGCCATTGTTTCTGTGGTTTAGCTGTCAGAAACAAGGCTACTCTGATCACAGACCTCTTCAAGAACCTGCTTTAAATTCCTTTTTGAGGAAAAAGTGACAGAGATGAAAATACTGGCTTTGAGCATGCTATGAAAATGTTCTCCCATTTAACTATGTCCCCAGCTTTCTGCTTTAATTTTCTTGAATTTATTCCCAGAAAGGGAACTGCTGTTTTATGATAATTCTATTTATTTTACTTTTTTTTTAAAACACACTATGTAGCCAAAGTTGACTGTGAGTCCCTGTTCCTCCTACCTCCCAAGTACTGTACCACTGTGTCCTATTTTTGCAGAAGCCCATATGCTCCCTGAATACATTACCATCAATAGTATACAATAGTTCTGATGTTCCCATATCCCTACCAACACTTCGTTATCTATAATTACTGGTAGGGTTTTGAGTAATAGCTTTTCTCATTGGTGGGAGGTGGTCTTGTGATAGTGACCTGTATTTCCTAATGGCTACTGACATGATTTACAAATGTTTTCTCCCATTCTTTGTGTTGCCTTTTTACTATCAGTAACCTTTTTTTTTTTTATGTATATAGTATTTTCCCTTCATGTATGTCTGTATATCACTAAATTCATGGCTAATGCCTACATCCATAACTCCCCTGAAACTGAAGTTAAAAAGAGCTGTGAGCCACGATGTAGATGCTGGGAATGGAACCAAGGTCATCTACAAAGGCAACAAGTGATCTTAACCATTGTACTATCTCTCCAGACACTACTGTCAATAATCATTCAATGCACTAAAATTTACATTTACATGAAGTCCAATTTATCTTTTTCTTTCTTGGTTTTTTGTTTGTTTGTTTTTTGTTTTTTGAGACATGGTTTCTCTGTGTAGCCTTGGCTGTCCTGGAACTCACTCTGTAGACCAGGCTGGCCTCGAACTCAGAAATCCGCCTGCCTCTGCCTCCCAAGTGCTGGGATTAAAGGCGTGCGCCACCACTGCCCGGCCTCCAAAATATCACATTGATCTACTATATTGACTAAATTATGCTAACTGGACCAAATGAGCAAGAGGTAGCAACCGCTTAGGACTTGTTGGTAACATGCATGCACATCTGAGGATGGGAAATAAATCCAACCAAATTCAAGGGCCAGAGGTGAACATTTCACCGTAATGAAATTCTTAGTTTAGTGGTGTGGGGTAAAGAGAGATACTCCTTCTAAGGTGAAGGATAAGTTATTGCACCTGGCCCCTCCCACCACCAAGACAGAAGCACAGCACTTTGTGGGCCTATTTGGTTTCTGGAGATGGCACATTCTTCACTTGGGTGTGTTACTTGTAAAGCTTCTTCCACTCTACCAGAAGGAGCCATTCTCTTCTTACTGGCAGAAGAGCTAAGTGGCTATCAATCTGTGGTGCCTATTAGCATACCAAAGTTCGTGGTGGCCTCCAGAGTCCTCAGGATCACAAGTACCTGTTATTCTTTTCAAAGCTCATGCTAGCTAGCATCCTAGCTCTTCACACTTCCTCCCCTATCCTAAACTCCTGCTCATGGGCTTCCCCCTCCCCAGCTGCTCATTATCCTTATAACTCTGCTATTCTGGCTATGCTTCCTCTATGGGCCACTGTCTTTGTCTTCATCTCAGCTCTCCCCAACTTTTTCTCCTTCTCTGTGCTCTCCTCCTGGCTTCTCTCATGGCCAAGTCCAGTTTGTTGGCCATTTTCAGTCTACTATTTTCTATTTCTGCTCTGAACTCTTCTAGACACCTCTGTCTGTTCATGTTCTCTCTCTCTCTCTCCCCCCTTCTTTCTCTCTCTCTCTCTCTCTCTCTCTCTCTCTCTCTCTCTCTCTTTCTCTCATATCTACAATAAACTATACCATGGAGTAGTCCTCAGTTTATACAATCACCTTCTAAATATTTTTAAATTTTTTTGTTCTGCTTTGTTTTTGTTTTCTAATTGACTACTCTCTAGATTACAGAGACTTAAACCCAATTTACATATGATGAATTGTGAAAGGATCTCCTAATTTAGATAATACTCTCTTCTTTTTTATTTTTTTATTTTTTCAAGACAGGGTTTCTCAGTATATCTGGCTGTCCTGGAACTCACTCTGTAGACCAGGCTGGCCTCGAACTCGGAAATCCACCTGCCTCTGCCTCCCAAGTGCTGGGAATAAAGGTGTGTGCCACCACTGCCCGGCAGTACTCTCTTCTTAAAAGAGAATCACCATGAGTGCTTCCAGAGGGTCTAGCAATATAGAATTAGGTATTTCTAATCAAGGCTTATTTTAAAGCGTTTAGTTTCCACTCATGCTTCACTTAAACACTGTACATTAGTTAAGAATACCAAACTGGTGCAGTTAACCCACTAAGTGTTCAATAATCATCCTTGGAGACCTACACTGATGTGGTCAGAGGAATTAAAATAGAAAATATTTCCCTCCTTGTCTTCCGAAGGTCAACTAAGTGCCAGAAAACTGTGGAGCATCTCTCAAAATGCCCATAACTATGGAAAACCACCTTTTTTCTTGTTCAGGGAGGCATGGAGACCTCACTGAATAGACACTAACCAATGTCCAGTCTGAAAAGAGGAGAGTTAAGAAGAATAAAAGTCCTCTACACTCACATAGAAAGACTAGTGGCAAAAGACAGACTAGGGCTCCAGAGACCCCTCCCAAGTCCATGTGACCCCTGGAAACCAGATCTTCACCTGGCCCTGACAGCAAAAGTGATTAATTCTGGGACCTAGATGGTCTTAAACACCCAGAAGGAAAGTATAACCAGGATTAAAATGACCAATATGTATGTTTCTTTAACAGTCCTCACACATTACTCAACCATATAAGGCACTATTTGGACAATGGTTTCTCAGTAATGATTCTCTTCCTGGTAACAATATTTCTTTGTAGAAGAGCACTTCTCACAGATGTAATATTGGCACCCTGTGTCCTAACCATGCTCCCTGATTTAAAAAGGCTGCCAGATAGATACTCTGTCATCAGTCTACAGCTTTGGTAACTGGGTAACTTACCCAGAGTATCCAGGGTGCCATTTGAAACTTTGCTAGACCATAAAAATAACTCAAAAGCTGGAGAGATGGCTCAGTGGTTAAGAGCACAGGCTACTCTTCCAGGGGACATAGGTTCAATTCCCAGTGTTAGACTTCGGCACACAGCTTGGAATAGACAACACCAGACCAAATGGTTCCAAAGGGGAGGGGGTTTATTCAGGGCAGA